CGTGTTTTAAATGATCTCAATATTCTATATGATTTCAAAGTCGCAGATACCTCCAATACCTTATGTGATTTCAATATCTCTAACTATCCCAATTTCTTCGAGGGTTTCAACGCATCACAAGATTTCAATGTTTCCAATGGATTTGATTTCTGTAAAGGTACCAATACTTCAAGTTGGTTCGATTCCTCCAATGGTTTCAATGTTCCAAATAACTTGAATGGTCCAAATGGTTGCATTGATCCATACGGAAAGACGCCTGCGTGTATCTGGCTAAAATACCGTAACATCCATCTTGTAACTAAAGAAGTGCTTAACAACGAAAAATAAAACAAGTCAATGGTAGGTATAGTCTAATCTTTGGTTCAGAGTCAAGTGATGACTTGTTACTTGTTCATAGAGCTTTATACTCATTCACATCCCGCTGTATGCCACTTTGATATCCCGTCAATTGAAGAAGATAACCTTACTTAAAGAGCGTAAGAAATAAAAGATCCAATCCAAGATTCGTCCAGCATGTATCATTTCCTTCCCTTTTATCTTCCTTCACGATTCAACCGCTTTCGCTCCATCTGACTTCAAAATAACGGGATCCCTTTTTCAACAATCCTTCTCAAATCCTTCAAATGCTTTCCTTTGTCCGTCGCTGCATCACCATAGACTGAGGTGGATGCTCTAGGAGAGGTCGCTGTGCTTGTTGTCTCAACAGAGCAGGCAAAAACGCCACTTTCTACGTTAATGATAATAGAAGTACAAAGGCCAGTTGCTGCGACGCCACTAATGAAACCAACATTGCATGGTTTACCCAGGTCGGCCTTTGCACAGGTTTGGACGAGGCTTGCTCTACTTCTAGTGGTGGTTGGAGCGGCCATCGCGAGGGTGAGGAGAGGGATGAGGGTAAGGATCGAGAATTGCATTGTGTATTTTGGTGATCTCGTGGTAGGTTCTGAATATAGATATGAAGAACTTTCGAAAATAGTAAGATAATTGCCTGGGAAATATCAGTAAACATCCATGAAAGTAAGTAAGGAGTGAAATCTTCTTACACTGCAAATGTAATATGATAACTATAACAGAAATCAAGGTCTGTGGAATGTAAAGGAATGAATCGTGGGGTTCTTGCCGCCAAACGCCAAGTAAATAACTTGTAGAGAACGAGAGAATGAGATAACTTTATAATGCTGAGTGTCGGATCTTCGAAAGAAGCTCAATATGTAGTGCCTTATCATCTCAAATAAATATATTCTGCTACCTACCGAATTGAAGCTTCCTCCGGAAAATCCTTACCTACCAAGGTGGTTTTTGCCGTGTCGCTAACCCCTGCGGCTTACTTCCATCCAGGCTTTAGCACTCGTTTCAATCACCCCCACGATATTTTTCACCAATCGTAATTCAAGAACATGTATGGTTTGTATGCGGGATAGCCTTGAAGGTCCAAGGGGGAATTATGACCAGTAAAATCGCTAGACGCAGTGACCTGAGGTATGTGGTCCGAAATAATTCTCGGACGACATATTTAAATGAAACAATAAAAGAACGGCAAAATCGCACCGATAAGAATATTACTTTACCCAGAACCCTAGACTCCAATGAATACCCATGATTTGATAAGTACATGCTTGTTAAGTTTCGTCCCTGACAGATCTTCAGATTGCGCCAGATTGTGGAGATGTTTGGACCTACTGAGTGTGTAGTTTATAGTAGTAGTGGTCTTAGCAATTTTTGCCGAGGAACTTCACATGTTACACGACTGGCTAGTACCACAGCTCGAAAGCCCCCAACGGACCTCCATGAAAACTTGCTATCGATTCATCTAGATTAACAAGCATAGTTCGAGGCTTGTCAGGATAAAAAATCTCCACCATACGGCAATTTAGATTAACGCGCGTCATTTTTGAGGGTGCGGGACATTGATACTTCAATAGATGATTATATCTGTAGTCTGATTTCGGATTTTGTGTATCTAGGTTGCCCATTAGGAGTCAAGAAAGTTTCATCAAGCTAATAAAGTTGATGACACTTGGGGTTTGATTTTAGTAAAATACAGTGCCAATTTTGTGTTTGCATGCAATAAGCGTGGTGCTTTTTATTTATAGAGTTGCATTCACCAGTACTAAGTGTTTCTATCCACTTTCTGTTCAATCCTCAACAATTCATCTTTGTTAGCGTATCAATGACGGTTCGGATGATCTCTATCGAGGAATAGAAATATGAACCAGGCTGATGATGTAGAAGAGACTGTAGGAGCCTTTTCCCGCAAGACCAGGCAATGAAAATGCTTTGTCCCCTCGCTTCATTAAGCGAGTAGAAGAACCGTAGACATGTTGCCCAACAACAGATAGAGAGAGGATATGCAACGAGACCGCAAACGCCGTTGAAAGCAAAACAGACATTGGGTGCGATAACAAGTGTTCCTTGTATGCAGCGCCTTATCTTATTGGGACTCGACGAATGAAGTGATTTCTGACAGAAGATTAGACAGACAGCAATGCAAATCAGAGTTCCCGATAGTCCGGGCTTAAGTCAAACAATTAAAGGCTCTCAATGTCTAAAGGCAGCACCTTATCCACAATGGAGGTGGTATCTCAAGTCATTGAAAGCTTGTAGTGTAATGCAACCTGAAGTTTCACCACAGATCACACGCCTAAGACTCTTTTCCGTTCAAGACCAGAATCTTTGCAGACATCGATTGAACTTTCACTAGTAATAGCTGTTGACACAATTTATTGATGTTACTTTAGTTCCTGTCTCAATCACTACCTAGAGAACAATAAGCCGTGTTTGTGTAGATAACGATGAACCGCAGATGGCAATGCTAGATTACGTTCAAATATACAAATGGCAACGGCAAGAACTATTCGTTTGATGTTCTATTCCTCATTAGATCATGGGTAGGTAGGTAATATCGGCCTAAATTTCCGCATTGATGTCCCTAGACTTCATTGGACTTTCCCATGTGTAACCTTCTCCAACCTTTCGAAGAATTCTTCTTCAACATTCAGGAATACCGAATTCGTCAGGAACCGCAACTCACGACCTACCAGGCAAAACCTGGGGAGTAAATATGGGTCCCAACCTGAGTTTCTACCACTGCGCCAACTCACTTCATACTCTCAAAGGAATGTGCCTATCCTAAATCTATAAAGGACGGTTTTCTTCTTTAATGTCACCGTCGCTTTATTGGTGAAGAGGTGAGGCTGGCTGATTAGCGAGTCGATAAATTTCGAAAGTCAATCTTCATTCACAATGCAAATCTGGTGTACTTGACTTATCATGGTATTCTATTTGATCATAACGTATATCTCTAACGTTTCTAAAGATGCCCTTCTCAACTCTTAAAAAAGGTCAACGCGCCTGCAACCAAAGCTTGCACACCGGTCTTTAGTGTTGGCTGTATCATCGGCGCGAATAATGGACTATGATTGATTGGTACATCTTCCATCCTTCCTGCTTCCTTAGCTTTCCTGATGACTTCAGGATCTGTACCACCAAAGAGCCAATAACAGGAAGGTACACCTTTTCCACCCTCTTTGTTCGGTGCCTCTGTTGCCAAGGTGCCAAAATCTTCCGACCCACCTAAAGGTGCGCAATTCTGATTGTGATTTTCCCCAAACACATCATCGAAGGTATCTGATAGTTTTTGTGTGGTGTCATCATCATTGACCAAGAAGGGGAAGCTGCTCGTCGGTTCGAATAGAGGTTCCTTCGTGGCATTTGAAGCATCAGATTCTGCTTTCACGATTCTTCTGATCGATTTCAAAACCTTTTCTCTTGTCTCGGGATTAAAATTCCTCACGTTAATCTTTAAAACAGCTTCATCTGCAATGATATTCTCCGTCATGCCCGCAACAACGCTTCCTACTGTTATTACAGCCGAATCTTGAGGGTTAACTTCCCTGCTTATGATTCCTTGCAATCGTACCACGATATTAGCAGCCATAAACACCGGATCGATCGTCATATGTGGCTGCGATGCATGTCCACCCTTCCCATAAACTGTCACTCGGAAACTATACGCAGCAGATCCAGAGATCCCTGTTCGCGTTCCCACTTGTCCGGCTGCAAGTGGCATTACATGCTGTCCTAATACCACATCCGGAATAGGACACGCGTGTCTTTCGGGATCATACAATCCGTCTTCTATCATAGCTTTCGCTCCTGCACCTCGCTCTTCATTTGGTTGGAACAATATCACCAATGTACCTTTCCAAATGGGCTTTGCTTTTGATAATGTTTCTGCAGCGGCTAACATACATGCTATATGCATATCATGTCCACAGGCGTGCATTACATCCTTTTCAATGCCATCTGCACCATCAACTTCTCTTTTCGTGCTAGCATATGGTAGACCAGTCAATTCCTTGACGGGCAATGCATCAATATCTGCACGAAGGAGAACAGTAGGTCCAGAAGAGTTCTTCAAAATTCCAATGAGGCCGGTACCTCCGATACTTGTGCGAACTTCGAAACCGGGGAGCTTTCGAAGTTCCTTTGCAGCAGTCTCTGAAGCCAGATGCTCCTGGAGTGACAGCCCGGGATTTTGATGAAGATTTTTGTAGACTGATTCGTAGTAGCTCAAGTCAGGAATATACTCCTGGAGTAGCGATGGGATACTCATGCTTGCTGTTTTTCTCAAGCTATCAGCAACAGTTAACGATAATTGATGAAAACAATTAACCCAAAGCCTGTATCGATATGGAGAACTGAGGTCTTATCACCAATGGACAGTCTTGATATATTGACAACTCGAATGAAGAGAACCGATTGATAAGCTCCAGTGTAAAGATACGAGCGGGGTCTCCATAGATACAGTGATGGCACGTGATAGACTGGATTAAAGAGACCCCTAAGCTTGCCCACATTTCCCCATCTTCGTCCAACGTTCCCCCGCTATATGCGGGGCAAGCGGCTTTATCGAGTTCAGAACAACATTTCCAGATAACAAATGAAGCTCCAGGCAATCAAATTCTCTTCTTAAACTCTAGACATACTCACGACACAAAATGGCCGATAATAACTTGGTCGATCGACTAGCCCTTATCACGGGTGCATCTGGAGGGTAAGAAGCACCATTCTTCACCTCAATAATTATGAATAACAAGAAGATAGAATAGGATCAGCGTGTGCTCGTGCATTTGCAGCTGAAGGTGTTAATCTTGCGCTCACATATTCTACTTCCAAAGATGCCATTGATAAACTCCTAGATGAATTACGTCAAACATCATCAGGGGAAGATCTTCGAATCTCTATTCATCAAGTGGATATGGGTTCCCCAGAACAAATCTCGGGTCTCTTTGATGAGATCAAACGTGATCATGGGGGTCGCACAGTAGATATCTTAATATCAAATGCTGGTTATGGAAAGAGAATTGTAGATATATCAGACATCCCATTGGAGGAATTTGACTATACCCTCAACATCAATTTGAGAGCCTCGTTCATATTAGTTAAGGGCGTAGTGGAAGGGATGAAGGCACAAAAGTGGGGGAGAATTATCTTTATATCGAGTATAGCTGCTTATGGAGCTGGACTCAATGGTTGCCGTATGATATATACTTTCCATTTCTTTCCTTGAGTTCTTGACTGATGTGCACTTAGACTACGCTGCTTCGAAAGGTGGTCTTACGTCTATGATGAAGAACTTATCACTTCACCTTGCCGAGTACAAAATTACAGTCAATGATGTGGCACCGGCAATGATTGGCAACACAGGTATGATTCCAAATGCCGATGTTGCTCCTGGTTTACTTGATGCAATTCCACTACATCGATTGGGCACTCCAGAAGAATGCTCGAATGCAGTTATGATGTTTGCAAAGACTGGATACGTTACTGGTCAGAGCTTGTTGCTTGCAGGAGGGTTAAATCATAAGTAGACAACCTTTGGCATTATGTTCAGGAGCTCGTTGCAATCTTATCATAAGAAGGCACATATACGGGTAGGGCTGCATTAATAATGGTACTGTCAGGTACCTAGATTGAGCTTGCTGGGCCCATCACAAAATGATAGCGAGGAGAATGAACCCCTTAAAATGTCGAAGCGAACATTGGAAATTCACGTTTCAGTATTTATGAAAACATTGTATAAAATGCGAATCACTTGAGTCCTAAGTCTTGAGCCTTCGAGGAACTTCTTGTATCCGATTGTCCACTTTCAATCTAGATTTTGGGAGTATCATAAAGCATCCAAGTCCATTAATATTTTAGCTCATTATATTCTTGAATATTTGATGTAGCAAAGCAAAAAGGCAAGACGAAAAGAGGGTATCATCTCACATCCCACATCCCACAACTAAAAAGGCCATCAAAAGTACCACCTCAATATCCCATCCCCTATTATTGAAAGAAATCCCATCCCCATCAATTTCCTAAACATATTTTCCCCCATGCAATGCATAATTATACAATACAAGTGATGCTCCATTCCAAAAACAAAGACAGATGGCGAATATAAACGCAAAGGTGCTAGACACCAGGTACTTTGACATCCGTTCTACCACTCCTGTGCCAAACTGCCAATAATGCACCACAATGTCCGCATTTATGTTCAACATCCTTGAGACCAGAGACAAGGTAAGGTATACATCCTAGACAGGTGACTGCGCAGCAAAGAAGCGCGATGAGACTAATAGAGAGTTAGTATATGTTACGTATTGCCTTCGAAGAGGCGAAAGAGATTAACTTACTGTGTAGTCATTCCACTGTGATTTTCAACGGCTGTTACCTCTCTTACACCGCAAACAGGACAGTCTACAGGAGTAGGGCCGGATTGGAGTGCACGGATAGGCATAGCAGTGGCATAATTATTCTTTCCTTGGTTGATATTTGCTTGAGGTGGAGGTTGCGCTGGATAATGATCTTGAGGAGGGTATTGACCTTGAGGAGGTGGAGCTTGATATTGACTCTTCTCATTTGTGAAGCCCTCTTGCTGAGGTGGGATTTGTTGTGATGCCATTGTGTTATGATTAGGGCCGACGACTTCAATACCTTGATAAGCGTCTGGATGGTTGTTTTGTTGAGCTTGATGTGTTTGTGGAGGTAAATCAGGATGTGGTTGTTGTTGTTGTTGTTGTTGTTGATTATTTGAAGTAGATGTGTTGGTGATACCAGTTAATTGTGGAGAAACGGAGGTGAGGTTATGACTGGTTGAACCTGTGATTTGAGGAGATGTAAGAGGAGAAACTCCTTCATGATAGGTAGGTGGAGGGGCATTATTATATTCGGCCATTGTCAGACGTTATTTCGTGAATGGATTTGACAAAGGGCTGTGGAGGCGCGTGGAGGCGTGGAATGTGTGATGTATGATGTCGTTTCTTTTCTCTTCTCTTCTTTTCAGCTCATAAGACCTAACAGATAACTTGATCTTATGGAATGTGCAAAGACTAGGGATTCCAAATTTTCGCCGAGATTTTTGGAATCTTGTTTGAGAATGACTGAGGATTGGAAATTGAAGCTTCGTGAAGTTTGATTGCACGTAGATGAAATGTTTAATGAAATTTCCGGGCGTGGTTCCGGTTGTATTGCTGGATGCTACCAGGTCTTCACATCAATGGGATCTCAAAGGAAGATAGTTTGGAATGTAGATTGTAGAGTGAGTGAAGGGAAGGATGAAAAGAATGAATGAAAAGACGTTAGTACTACATGTCTCCCAGCTCCCTAGCTACCTACTCGTTCTGTGGTAAGTTGTTACCTAGACTTTAGATCAACAGAAGGAGTTAGTTACATGTTGCCGCAGCTGAACGGTTCAAGTGGCACAGGCCTGAATAAAGCTCACGCTAATGCAATGAATTATGTCAAAAATGGATATATTATAACTATACCAAGGATAGTGCAGGATTATGAGGATATCCATGGATTTACCTCGAAATTACATGGAAAATGTAAAATGTCTCCACTATTTAAAGTTGAGCTAATCAAATCACTCTATTGGAAATTAAAAAAAGGAGGATGGAGATGGAGATGGAAATGGATCAACCTTGGCTCAACAACTGAAACTGGAGAATCGAGAGAAAAATGTCCTCTAGGCTCGTGTGGCTCATGTGGCTCATTTTGGCACGTGTTGGGGCTGAGTCCTGCTTGATGATCCTGAAAGTCTACTCTGTCCACCTGCAACGGGAAGAAGGGCCAGCTCTTCCAAAATCATCCATTCTGCAGTCTTCATTGAAATCGTCCCACTCGCCACTACGAATTATCTCCTTCATTCAGACCTCTTCAAAACTCTGGTATTCCAACTCTCGTGTGATAGCGATCCATGAAGATGTTTCTCGCAAATTCGTCCTCTAATCATACACACCATGAAGGATAGTGTGGGTATGGCATTGCATAAGCCGGATATGTTTGAATTGGACTTGGACATTGTGAAGCGTAATCATACGTGAACGCTTCATTATGTTCATACTCGATTTGTTCGTGTTCTTGTTCGGGTTGCTGGCAGGTTTCAAAGTAAGCATTTTGTCGAACTTGATGATTGGAAGCAACAGTATTGCTACTATCACCCATTCGCATGTCATTAGACAGCTTATATGTAACTTACAATGGGACAATCCACGTGAGCCAAACTTGTTTGTTTTCTTGGCCGAGATATACTGAATTCTCCACATCGTCTATGACTGACAATCCTTTTGTGGTTTCTTTGCCATCTCTTGAACCTCGAACAGATGTAAACGCTGGTACTTGATTCATTGCATCCTGTGCAACGAACTTCTTGCTCTACGCACATCTTGATATGGCGAGGGATTTCAAAAAGGCGATTTCAAAAAGGCTTCAATAATATTGGGAATTTGATCGAATGACTTCGTTTAATTGTTCGGGAGCAATTGCTACATTTGCGGAATACCCGTCAGGAATTCATGATCCGCACAGCAGGAATTGTCCAGATTTCGAAAGTTTGAAATCGGAGAGACAGACTACTTGTATTTAACTCTAGAGCTACCTGACAAACGTCCCATTTTATCTGGTAAAAACACATAAAATTTATACACGTATCTCTCATGAACCAAGTGGTCCGTTTCTACTCGAGCGCAACAACGCACGAAAGAAAACAAGACATCTCAATGGCGGTTCGCACCCCACCCTTATTTTTATCGGCTAAATCATCATACAAATTATTCACCACATGTCTGATCACTACTTACTACTCATGTAACCACAAGAAATGATATCGAATAGGCTTCATCCTTCCCTCGCCTCTTAACTCACATCTATACAATGTACTGGTCCACGAGAAAGATGAGGCAGATGATTGCTTCTTCCCAATGGTGGGCGAACCCATGCAGCGAGACTACTATGTATTCAGAATAGTTTAACCGGACCAAATTATTCAAAAGTTCGGGGCGGGTTGATAGATTGGATGGAAGCTGTCAATGATTGATGCATATTTGACAAGATGTTTCTTGCTCTGATGATGGTTATGCATTGGGAATGAGTGAGTGACCCGGCAATTGAAATTCTCCTCGGATTGGTATCTTTCGCGCATGCATACGTCCATGATTCTACTCTTGTCTAACAAAGTAGAATCCGCGAACTTATCTGTGGTTCGTGTGCTCTCACAAACATTCCATCGATTGCAAATTGTGTTACTGGAAGATCACACCATTATTGCCAGTACTGCAGCGCGTCTGAAAGATTCGGTGCAAGTGTTTTCCATAGTTCGGATTGCTGTTTATGAGATTCTAGTTTTAAAGTTTTCAATCAATCAATCTGGACTATTGAGAACTATTTGTCAATGCGACCATCTTGTCAACTATTGATTGAAGTCAGAGCAAACCGTGCAATACTTGGATCGATATACTTGAGCTCCATTGTGATACGCGTCCGTATTTTTACACCCTTCTTCTCTCTTCTGCTCCACCCTTTCTGATGAAAGCGAGTGAAGGACATATGTGAATGGAACAAATCACAGGACAGATATATACGCGAGGAGGCACGTAGGAAGCGGGAGCCATGTAGCCGAATATAAAAAATATTCTCGAATTTGTGAATGGTCGTGCCAGGAGTGCGAGCCAGGCAACGGCGTAGGCCGGTATTTATAGATTGGGGAAGATTGAATGCTAAAGCTTCGGCGCGGGGGGGATATTCATAGACTTTGAAAGGTAAGAGTAGTTGGTCTTGATGTTAACGATGCAGGATAATGCGCGACTTTCTAAACTGGAGTTTTGTATGACTCTTACTCTTCTTCATCTCCTTCCGCGCCTAAGTTCATTCACGAGTACTTAAAGTGATTGTAGTATGTCTCTACAGTGATTCGATACTTTTTTTCTTTCGTCGCAGAGAATGGGATGGCTATTTAAAGACAGCTTTCCATACCACTGCTCAAATACTCTGCAACTATCTGGAAGTCTGACATCTGTTTGTCCCTAAATAAAATCCGACACACAATGCATCATTCTTTCATACGCATCACGAACTCGCACTACCCTCGAAATGTGCAAAGAAACCGAAGTCATCTGTCTTTCTTGCTCTTCAACCATTACGATAATCGATACCTGTTCTGTTTACAAGGTGAAATCAGCAGCTGAGAACGGCATCTCACATCGAAATTGCCAAAGGTTCAAGCCCAATGTTCAAAATCCAGAATATGTGCAGAAGACGGATAAAGAGTTTCACATGTGCGACGATCGACGAGCGGGATCTGCGTTTCCATTTTCCTTCTTGGGAATGAGATCAGAAGACAAGTAGAAATCGGAAAGGGAGGGGTGGCCCGGATGGGGAAGGGGTTCAGATGGGTGGAAAAGGGGAGAAATGGTGGGAAAGGCCAAGACACTAGAAGCTCGATGTTTCTGGGAATGGAAAGGTACAATGAATTGTGATAGGGGTTGAATTGGGAACGGGTAGATCGTAGGACGGCGAAGTAGACTAGGCGTATAGGGAAGAGGGCTCGAGGAGGGGAAAGAGCACAAAGCTCAGAGAGACTGGTTTGATCAGATTGTCTTTGTTTTATCCTTAGGCCATAGACCCTTGAGGAATGCACATACACTATACTTTTTACGTGACTTTATGAATGTGAAATCCATAGCGATATTGAGAGTACGCGTTGCACACGTTGTTTTAGATTCCTTATGCCTGGGAGCGGAGCGGGAGTGGGAGCGCAGGCACCAAGAGGAAATCCCTTATGGTTCCCCCCGCCCCGTATCGAGAGGCCCATCATCTAATCCTCTACCTATAAAGACGTAAAAACGCAATACTTTCAATCACCCCAAAAGAATCCGACATTGAAAATACCTAAGAGTGTTACTTACCTTGGGATCTGATCTCGCAATTAAGATGAAATAACCGGGTGTAAATGCGCAGTCGGTATTCCTGTCAGTATTGGACGGGGTAAGGTTGTGAGGGACCATTCAACATTTCAAAATCAATTTTATAACAGTTGTCACAAATACTCAAGATACATTCATGATGATAAATATCTGCAACCTGTTTGAGTTGAATGGTGGAGAATTGATGAGATCAAGTCCCATCTCATCTATCGGTAATATTCTATTTCTATTTTCAATTGATTAGAAATACAATTAAATATAACTATGGTTAACCTTCCAAGTTGAATCACTGCTGACATACCCCATACAAAAATGTTTTGACCACATTGACGTAGAGCCGCAAATTGGGGCTTGGTTCATTCGTTCTTGAGCCCGGGATTTTGGTTTTAGCCAGATCATATATCTTATCATATCATTCTGTCATTCTATGATCCTTTGATTCTCTGACCTTTCTTCCTCTTCTTCTGCTTCTCTTTCTCTCCCTCCAAGACAAAACTCAATTGCCTTTGTTTCTGTTATTCGTATTGTCTCGCCTTATTGTGATTTTGATATTCCTGTCGAGCTCACATGCCTTCTTCCATAACTAAGCATCGGTGATGCCACTGCGATGGCCACGAGGTTGGCTGGGCTTCCCTCCCAGTAATCAGTCAACCCTTATCTTCAGATCAAGATGGTTCCTATTACTTCTTCTGGCAATATGGCTTCCTCTAAGCAATGCAATGACACCTGCGCGCATTGCAGAGTTACGAAAAGAGACGGTCGAAATGTTTTACCATGGATTTGACAATTACATGGAACTCGCATTCCCGGAAGATGAGGTTCGATCACTGTTAAAGGTTCAAAGTATCTATAGCTAATCTTTCTTCTTAGCTAAGACCTGTCTCCTGTACACCACTCACTCGAGACGCCCAAAACCCTCGACATCTCGAATTAAACGATGTACTCGGAAATTATTCTCTCACTTTAATTGACAGTCTATCGACTCTTGCAATTTTGGCATCTGCCCCTCCAGATGAAGAAGAAACCGGCGCAACAGCTCTTCAAGAATTCCAAAATGGTGTCGCTTCTCTAGTATTACAATATGGTGATGGCACAAGCGGAGCATCCGGAAAAGGGCTACGTGCTCGAGGTTTTGACTTGGACAGTAAAGTCCAGATTTTTGAGACAGTAATCAGAGGTGTCGGTGGGCTACTCAGCGCTCATGAATTTGCCGCTGGAATTCTACCAATTAATGGATACAAACCACAATCTGGCAAGATCTCGGGAAAGACTTCGAAAACATATCAACCTGCGATTTTGTGGCCGAATGGGTTTAAATATGACGGACAACTTCTGCGCCTAGCTCTAGATTTGGCTGAACGTCTACTACCCGCTTTCTATACCGCGACCGGTATGCCGTATCCAAGGGTCAATTTACGGCACGGTATCCCATTTTATGTGAATTCCCCTCTACATGAGGGATCTGGGCTTGGCGACTATGTGCAAGACACTCCTGAAATTACCGAAACATGTAGCGCAGGAGCGGGCAGCTTGGTTTTGGAGTTTACTACTTTGAGTCGTCTTACCGGAGATCCAAGATTTGAGCAATTGGCGAAGCGAGCTTTCTGGGCGGTTTGGAATAGGCGGAGTAATATTGGACTCATTGGAGCAGGAATTGATGCAGAGAATGGCCAGTGGATTGGCTCATACGCCGGCATAGGTGCGGGAACAGACAGCTTTTTCGAATACGCATTTAAAACCCACATTTTACTTTCCGGACAGAGCACTCCCAACATAACGACGCATAGGCAACAACAGCATGAATCATGGTTAGATCCCAATACAATATACAACGAATTGAGTGTTGAGGAGAATTCTCCAGAAGCTTTTCTTGCAGTATGGCACGAAGCTCATGCAGCAATCAGGAGGCATCTATATAGTCCTACACACCATCCGCATTACGTCAATGTTCATCTTGTGACCGGCTCTCCGCAGGCTTTCTGGATCGATAGTCTTGGAGCTTATTATCCCGGTTTATTGACTCTGGCGGGAGAGGTTGAGGAAGCTATTGAAACTAGTCTATTGTACACCGCTTTATGGACGAGATATGCAGCTCTTCCTGAAAGATGGTCAGTACGCGATGGGCATGTAGAAGGAGGACTTGGTTGGTGGCCTGGTCGCCCCGAGTTCATTGAATCGAATTACCATCTTTACAGAGCGACAAAAGATCCTTGGTATCTTCATGTCGGAGAAATGGTTCTGGAAGATATTAAACGCAGATGTTGGGCAACATGTGGTTGGTCAGGTCTACAAGATGTGCGCACTGGAGAAAAGAGCGATCGTATGGAAAGTTTCTTTCTTGGAGAAACAGCCAAATATCTCTATCTACTTTTTGATCCAGATCATCCAATGAATGATCTCGATGCCGCTTATGTCTTTACGACTGAGGGACACCCTCTCGTGCTTCCTCGAGAAAAGTCGAAGCCTCCCGTTACACCTCGTACGCCGGTAACAACTAAGGCAGTTCAGCCAGCGTATAGGGCATCTCTTCGGGATACTTGTCCTGTGCCCCCTCCACCAGTACCTTTTACTGTCTCCAGTACAGCTGCCAGAACGGACGTATTTCATGCTTCTAGTTTGATAGGTTTACACATGATACCAAATCATCGTGCTACGATGGACGGTGAAAATATCAAGGTCAACAATCATACATACTTCCCGTGGACTTTACCAATCTCAATGATTCCAAGTAATGGTACTTGCGATCGTCTTCCGATAACCACAACTTTCACAATTGAGTTTCCAAACAATAATCCTTTAAGCACTCAAAACGCCAAAAATGGTTTCAACATTATCTTTAATATCCCAACAAGTCTCGACCGTACAAGTGATGGTAGTATATTGGTCAAAAGCTTGTCTGGTTTAAAGATGGGCATGATACATGAAAGTCAATCACATTCGTCTGGAATCAATCAACAACTCTCCGGATCATGGAGAGTGGGTAGCATTGCCAATATACCGTTGGGACGAGATGAGCAAATATTGATACCCCGAGATGTGATTGGAGATCTTACAGATCCTTCATTCTCGCGTATAAAAAATCCAGTTATGCTTGACATAGTCATACAACTTGAACACGTTCATGATCAAAATCAAAATATGTCGGAAAGTGTCGAGGAATTGTTTGAAGAGGAACCAATATACGAAGATACCCCGGCTTTAGCATTGGAAGAATCGATTAGTAGCGCAGGATTAGCAGAATATAGAACTTTGCTAAGTTCTCTCCTTCAGCAAGTGACATCTGCCCTTCGCGATCCGGCTGCTACTCTACTTCCACAACCCCAGATTGCTCCGACGTATACCTACGCAACTCTCCCAGCTGTTTTACCAACTGGTAAAGGTGCACATCTCTTGATTAATGCACCGGAGGCTCCCGATCCTATGACCGCCAAGACTTCATCTGCCACTCTTTCCTTCGGAAGTATTTTCTTCGCGGGTGAAGCTTGTAATGGAAAACTCCCCGATGAAGCAGTCAAACAGCATCATGTTATAGTCATGAAACGTGGCGGCTGTACTTTCTCCGAGAAGCTGGCCAACATTCCCAGCTATACGCCCACATCTAAAGGTCTTAAATTGGTCATTATGGTTTCAGACGACAAGGACGATGTAGATTCAAACGAGGAGGGTATGGGGGATGAAGGGACCTCGCGGGGAGGAGAGCAAAACCTCATCAGACCATTGTTAGACAAACCACAACTAACCCCAGGTGGCCTTTTGAGACATCATCAAATTAGTATGGTAATGGTCGGAGGAGGTGATGAAGCTATTCAGGCTTTAAAACGGGCTAAAAGTGTCGGCATCCGTCGAAGATACCATGTGGAAAGTCAAGGACTAACGGTTAGCAATATTTTTGTGGTTTGATATCACATAGGAGTAACAGTAAACATATGAAATATATGATCGAGAGCATCGTGGAAATCTGGCGCTAGGATATCTCATCAGGTTGGGTTGGTGCGCTGAAAAATGAAGAATACCACTTCTTGTAACGATTGGGGTACCTTTGTTTCATAACTTGGTATGTTGTAGATATCGTCGATGCTTGATTTTGCATATAAACGCAATTACATATACATTTCGTGCTTTGCACCAGTAACAACTTTCCAATAGTTCAGATTGTAGTCAGACAATCAAAAGATTCGAAACTTGTAGAGATACAAAGTACTCATCTATAACAAAAGATCATCTAATTTCGAATTCGTCTATTAGAACATCTTCGCTACGCTATCAAAATGGGCATCCTTTTGAGACCAAAACCCATCTATGCAAAGGTCACTCCCAAGAGGAAATATGAGAGATCCCCAAAGTAAAAACTCCGTACGCTATGCTATTTCTCACAACCTTTAAACTCCAAACATTTTATCTATCTCCCAACGCTTTAAAGTTCATCGAAATTTGGTCTCACAATCGTCCATTTTCTAGGAGTGACTGGAAGTCCAATATAATACTCCCAAAATCTTGAGATCTCGAGGACGAAAATCTCCCATCTATAAATATATGTAAGCATTTGAATTAAAGGATGTGAGGAATAATAGCGGGAAACATACAAAGTGACAGGAGATCTAAACCATCCCCAAAAAACATATTTGGTAATGTTCCACGTCAATCTTAATTCTTTCCGGAACAGTTCCGAGACGGTAGGATCTCTTTCCTGCAACTTCACCTCCTCATCATATTCCGCAAAATCATTTGCTATTGGATCTTCATGGACTTCGTCAGGAATAACATGATGTGGTTTCGTCACACGATCTGTTAGCTTAACGGCCTCTTCAGACTCATTCTCCTCTGCTTCCACCAAAGTTCGGAACTCATTGATTGCGCGAAGAGAATGGGAAATACGACTCAAAGTATTGAACAAAGCGACAAGTTCAGTTCGTTTCAATATCGGGACGTCCAAAGAATTATTATCGGTTTCGAATAAAACTTTGAGCGCTGCTCCGTAACCTGCGGTTTGGACTTTACCCCAGAGTCGACATTTATCACAACCTACACAATCCATGATTCGACTGATATTTCTGAATCGATTGCGGAAATCTTCTTTCAAACTTGGACCTTCTCCATTGACAAACATCAAGCTTTCATCGAAAATTCGAGTCTCCTTTGAAGCTTTTGACATTAGAGTTTGCACCTTGGATTGAGTAACTTGATCTTGAGCAGGGTCTCCAGAGCAGAAGGTGTAATCCTTAAGCGAAGGGCCAAGTTTTGTGACTGCTCGTAGAACAAGAGCGTAATTGAAGTAAAGATTCGAAACACGTTCCGGAAAGCCATGTAGGCGATCTTTGTAACATTCAACGTTCATGCCCCATTCACCAGTAGTTTGATTCAGATACTCGTAACAGAGATGTGTGCTGATGGAAGTGTGCATGCCAGAAATGACTCTATAGAAGACACGCTTCTCCAAACACTCATCTTCCGATTCAAGGCCAGTCTCTGCTACGAATGGGAGATTTGGGGAATGCTCTCGTTGTTCTTCCAATATGTGTTGTCGACCATGTTGTTTAAGAATAGACTTCAATTCATTTGCCGCGGGTTCTTTCAGAGACAATGGAGAGTGACCAAGGGATTCCGAATGTGGGAAAGATGCTTTCGAGAAGCAATTCTCTCGATAAATGGCATCCCAAACTTGTTTTGCACCCTCGCCAGCATATCCGGTAAATCTCTCCGGGTTGTCTACCAAGCTCACATAATCTCCTTTTGATCCTGCGCCTTCATCATCCGGTACACAATAATCTCTCTCGTCACATTCGTCATCGTATTCTACCACACAACTCTCTCCCACATCCTCGCCGAGCTTTCCTTGTAGGGGTTTCTTTGGACGCTCTTGTTGTACTTTCTTGCCTGGATGGCCGGCTTTTGGTCCCTCGAGTTTTCCCAATTCCTCTGCCCTCCATACTAGTGGTATATCTTCTTCATTGTCCAATGTATTTACGGCGCAGGCAATGTTGCCACACATGCCATTCTCATCGTTCCAAAATGGACATTCCTTACCGAATAAGTTCAGACGGTAATAGGCAAAGAAATCGGTGGTTCGCGTGAGGTCGTCTAAGGAAGGTGATATTTCTCGGTTCAGGTCATCGAGGGTAGCATATGTCGTGCATGCATCCGAAACAATGGCTTTTGGGGAGATCTGAGTAATGGCATTAGACACAATTGCCTGGTAAAAGAAAAGTAAAGCATACCGCGCAAACATCTGGACTTTGAATAGTTCTTGATTTGGATGAAGAATCAGAAGCTTCTACATGAGGAGCACAAGTACTCAAGAGAGTAAATAACCCCAAGTAGAATGCTCGAGCGGCGGTCTTCATGATGAGACTGACACTTGGCCTTTTGTTTGATATATTAGATGAATTTCATTCAGGCACAAGTAAAAAGCTTCGGAGTTTCCGAAGTAGGACGTTGAATTATCCAGAAATATGATAGGGTAGAAATATGAGGAGGTTGATGTATTGAGAACCTATTTTGTCGATTTCTTGTAACTATGAAAGGAAGGTCAAGATGAAAATAGTTTATATGAGATGGAAGAACAATGACAACCTTTCCGGGGAGATTCTTCTAGATAGTAAATTGAAGACACCTTTCAATAAATAAATGTAATGTAGAGAAGTGAAACTTTTGTTCTTTTTTATTGTAATTTTGATATTCAATTAAATACACATAATCCCTCACTAGTCATATAAATTATATATGTTGATTTGAAAGCATATGATGGTGTTTCGAGCATTTTTACAATCTGTCCATTTTAAAGGAGCCGGAGTGGCTCGAGAGTGGTTCGTTATCATTCATTCAATTCATCCATCTATCGGATCTTCAACCGAAGATCAAACAGGGCCACTTATAAAAAGCCATGGAATATGTATGTAAGGTTATTAAGGTTAATGGAACGAACATCTGATGGAATATCCAACCGAAGATTCAACGGCCCGGATCATGGCGTTGATGGCATAAATAGACGCCTTCCGCTACCTAGTGCCGCCAGCTAAGTTTACCATTAATAGAATTGGCTTCTACAATGTCTTGTACTAGATCTACATTCGAAGGTGTCGCTGTTCATCTTGCTATTTCTTCTTCTTCCCATTTTAGTCATTCACGTTCAAAGGTCACTAGGTACCTACCTGGTATGTATCAAGCACCACATCAGTGGACATGCGTGAGAATCAAACGTGATCAAATATCATCATCGCCTCATATCGATAACATACGAAGTTCAACGAGCGTGATTGCCAACTTACCTAGTCCTTCGAATCATACGACACTTTCCTCATCCCATCTCACCAAGCACGGAATAACTGTCACACAATCACATTATATTGACAACACATATGTAAATATGATTTATTGTTTTTTTTGGTAAACCCTTGCCTTCTAATGAGAGTGCAATAACCTGAGAACAGTCGCCCCCATTGTGCCCCCGCAATCATCCTCCCGCTTTGCATGTACTTATGCTGAACCTGCCACCATACATCATCGGATCCTCAGTATTGGTTTCTTTTCTGCTTTTCTACACTCCCTAAATCCATTGCAACCAGCCCTAAAAAGCCTTGCTATCTGTAACTTCCCAAGATGAACTAGGACTAGTATATAGCAGTGGAGATGATGTTAATTAATCCTGATCTAATACATCAAACGAATAATTGAAACCCATAAAGTGTAAGTCGTGTAAGTTAGGAGAGACATCAGACGTAACATCGTCAAAGCATATGCCCTCCTGTGTAAGGTGTTATGCTGAATCAAGAGACTCGTTGAGATCGAGTTTGATAAAATGCAGCATATTTACTGTTGTTGAGTGGGTGGTTGATAATTAATTGATCTCCTATACAAATTCATTAGCGTTTGATAAAGGTTTAGGGGGGTATGTTGGTAACGCACTTGAAGAGCAGAATATGTGGTTCCGGCTCATGTACCTCATAATGTTCCCAACCAAGACTCTATTTTCACCTGATCAGTTCCATTTTCTTTGATGTTCAACTTTTCTCTACATACCTGTGTTATTCCCAATGCTCTCCATTCTTCCTCCCACAATAGCTTCAAGGTACCAGTTTGGGGATCATGGTATTCCTTTGGGATAACTTTCAGCATAGCTTTTGGTAGTTGAACATGTCGGTACTCGTATTGATCGTCGGAGTATCTGTAAGGAAGGATAAGTGTATGCGCGATGGAAGGACTGGGACCCAAGGTTTGCGCCATAGCTTGTACTGACCTTGCGGAATAATGAATTGCATCAATAAATTCATCTAAACGCTCCTTCTCGGCCTCGGAAAGTGGTCTCGCGTACTTGTTTCTTCTGGTATAGTCTATTTCGGCCATTGTGCTCTGAGTTCTATTCTATTCTTGTAATCGCGATTGATGAATATTGACAAACGTATAGGTGGGGCAACAACGCGACAGAGAGTATTTTGAAGCTTGAATCGACAGACTCGGAGATTGGATGATTGTTCTGTGGTATATGAGGTCTTGTCTTATTGAGACCGATGACGATTATATGATTGGCGCCGGCGCAAATGTATATGGTATTCGATGTAGGAAGGCGTCGAGGGGTTGATTGGCTTTAGATTGCGCTTCTTTTGCGGTGAAGAAAACTATATGCGAAAAGCAACTGGAAGTAATGGAAAAACTGATTGAAGAACTGTAATTGATTGAAGACAAAAGGATTCCTCAAGCAAATTGTAGTGACTGCAAATAACTTGTGTATTTGTGTATTGTATGTGACGTGTTGTGAAATTGAGTTGATTGATTTAAGTTGCGAAAGGGTTTATTTTGTTATTGGGATATCAGAAGTGGACTCGGGAGGGGGATGGTGGTGTAAACAAATAGAAAAGGTCTTAGTAAAAAGTTCAGTGACTTTTTAGTTGTTTGTGTAAAGTGGAGTCCAGCCTTGTTGAAAGGTTGAAGTACAGCCTTGTTGCATTCATTACATGTGTCCAATCAAACCACCGCTGCAGGTAGCATGGCATATCCAGATTTTTCGTTGAGGCCTTAGGCATCTTTGCCTTCTCTTGAATCATCATGTGATACAACCCTCCAATTCCAATCCATTGCCAGTACTCTGAATGTTTTATCGCTTCAGTGGATGTTGGAAACTGTTGATTGATTGAGTTGAGTTGAGAATACAAATTGCAACTTTCCTTAAAGCAATCCTCTCCAACATTGAAATCCAAAGAAAATTCTCTGAAATACCAGTTTTTCATGATACTCATCCAATACCTACTCAAATATAACAAATCTCATTGATCATTATCCCATCTTCATCCTTGTTGCGTTGTAAATCGGAGCAACCAAATCAAAAGATCATTACCCCTGCATATCTCCCCATCAGTACTTCGAAGTTTGTAAAGCTTCAGAACGCGCATATTCGGCTTTGACGCGTCTGCATTCTTCATTGGAATTTCGCATCAATTCGCAGATTTGATTCAAGTACATTTGCGAAAAAGTACACGAGGAGCCATACGAAACCGTACCGTACGATACAATACAATTCGACACGGCACAATACGATAATAAGATGGATCCAAAGAGAAAGGTTAATGGTGATAGTACTGCGGATCAAGATGATGCGGATCGCGCTGCGAAGAGAAGAAAGCTTCCCCTTGTAAGTTTGCGCCCATTTTGTTGTTGGAATTGTTGCAATTCATTGTCAGAAAGAAGATTCGAAAGTTTGGGTGCATTGCTCGTGGGGTTTAAATAACTATCAGCTCTTTCTCCATTGGCGGCCAGGGAAGTGAGCCGGCGCACAACCACTTCTTCTTATACTTTCTGTCAATCATTCTTCATAAATACCATGAATGCGAAAATGACGAGAGGACGAGACTAATAATGAATAGAATGGTGACCTAAGCCAAGGTCAGACGCCAGAAACAACAACTTATTATGGATTGATACTTTTGAATCAACTGAGGACGGGTCTGGATAAACAGTACGTGAAGCTCTCTCTAATGATTTCTTTTCGCGATAGATCTGCTATCTCACCAATCTTTGGTATGCGATGGAGGGGTCGTCGTGTACGCACATTTGATTACCACCACGATTGTCACCTTTATTGCTCTAAATTCACAATTAATATAACTCTTTCAATCCTCAGTACAACCCACTAACAGCTTTATCTTTTTATAGGGGACGACCTTTCGCGACCAATTTCCTCACCCTCCCCGATAGAAAAGAATTCGCCGCCTACTATGCCGTTACGAAGATGCCAATCGCCTTTGACACTATTCAAGAGAAATTGGATAATTTTGCCTTTGCTACTTTATCTGAACTTGAGAGTTTCTTCAAGCGTTTGGTAAAAAACGCAAAGGATTACAATGAACGAGAATCTATAATCCATCGCGATGCCGAACGGATACGAAAGGCAGTGGTCAAATTTATGACGGATAATAATCCAGAATATAAGACAAATCCGGGAATGAAGTTAGAGCCTACACCTATTGAAGTTCTCGAGCCAATCGAATATAATCCGGGCTCTAAAGGTGCTGGATCTATACCAGCACATCCTAAGCATGTTGAGCCCACGCCTGTATCGATTGTGCAAGATGATAGTGATATAGATGCGGAAGGAGAGCCGGAAGATTTTGAGGCGGAAGAAATAAAGATTGAGCCGCAACCAGTCATAAAACGAAGAGGTCGACCCCCAAAGAATCCCTTGGCACCACGCAAGAGTACTACTCCCGCGGTGTCCGACTCACAATATGCTGGTATCAGCTTTGCGGGACTTAGTTTCCAACAAGCGCAAGAGAAGATTTTAGCAGATGTTCTCTCGCATAAAGAAGACCCATCGTAAGTAAAATGAATTACATTATTGACCTACGCTAATACCCAAACCAGTGATGAGTTCTTTGAGTTTGAACCGTTTGTTACATTACCACCACGTAGTTTAAAGGACTATTATCAAGTGATTCCAAACCCACACTGCTTGAAGGATTTACAAAAGCGTGTTAAAGGAACTTTTGGGGGGAAGCATGCCACGGGTGTTAGCGATTTTAAGTCATGGGCTGCACTTGAAGAAGATGCAAGTTTGATATGGAAGAATGCATATCACTACAATGAAGACGGAAGTGAAATCTTCAATCTAGCAAGGGATCTTGAGGTACGTAACCGCCTTCTCATTTACAACTTCTTTATTAACATTCGTCAGATCTTTTTCAAGAAAACTTTGGAAGAAGCCAAGAAAGTTGTGCCCGAGCCCGTGATTCCAAAGATAAAAATTAATGTTAAAGCTCCCGAACCTACTCCAAAGATCACTTTGAGAGTCGGAGTTGCTAGAACAGCGGACTCACCGGCTCCATTAACCAGTGGTTCCAACGGAACTGTGGCTTCCACAGCCTCTTCCAACAGCGAAACCCGTAGAAACCCATTTGGTGGTTCCCACTCAGTTGCGACTCCTGCTCCAAAACTAGATCAATTAGAAAGAGCTAGGAGTATGTCAAACTCTGCAGCATCTCCAACCCTTTCTAAAAGTGTACTTGTCAAAGGCGAGGAAGCTTTACGCAATTCGCCTGCGCCAATTCAGTCCACTCCAAGACCCATCAATCAAAGCGGCTCGACACCAACACCGGCTCCAAGTAATATGCTTCCACCAAATACACCCAATGCATCTAATCAAAATTCATATAATCAAGGTGGATATGCACAATCATTTAATCACCAGCCCGCAAATCTTGGTTTTGATTCTAAATTCCGGGCACCAGGGAAAAGTGAGTATAATTTTTATTTTTTACTCAGCTATAGTGCTAACAAAATTCAGATGCTTCTCATGCTATGATCACAAATCTAAGTATCGCAACTCATCCGCGCCTTAATGTTTCTCGTCATTTCCATATGGATTTACCCCCATCCGCAACATTGGCGCAACAATCTATCACGATCAACCTCCCTTCAACGCATTATTATCTTCAAATCAAACCAACAATCGCTCAAGCTTTACTCGAGCGTCAATATAAGATCTTTGTTACATCTGGAGTAACTAGATTGCATGCTATACCACTCATACCAAATCATGGAGTCGATCCTCGACAACCTCTTTTTGAAGCTCGGCTTGTTCCTGGTGTTAACAAGATTGAAGTTGAATTGATTGCGGCCCTCCCTAAGGGCACAGTAAAGTCTGCTGGTGGGCCTGAAGTTGAGATAGAAAAGGTCACAGTGTTTGCTAATTTGATGAGGAATTGATTAGAGTATTGTTTTGTAATCCAAGTCTATGAGACTAACTTACGGTAGCAATGGTAGGCGTTATTTTGGCATTTTGATTTCCTGAGTCTAAGACTAAATGTTAGGGGGCGTCTCAGAGGCCTATCCCAATTTTGTGGTTTGGCATATGGTGAGGTTCGGCATCGTACAAGTAATTTATGTATCACAAGGGAATGGGGATGGTCTATGATATGATAATAGAGCTGTGTTAGATATCCAGTTCTGGGGTTTGAGAAAGGAGAAGAGGCACATGTCCTTGGCGCGCGCCATATAAGTACTTCCAATATTCAGTAGTAATATGAACAGTGAAGAAGCCCACTTTCCCATTATTAAGCCTTGGTTCCCAATATCTCACGTGAATCTTTTCAAGCTATCAGATTTATGGTAGTCGGCCTTCGATGACTCGGCTAACAGTTCAACTGGCTCCAGTTTGTTCGCTGGAGGACCAACCATGAATTTGGTTATTTTTCTATCATTCAACTGGCCGTATGCAACTTTCATCAAATTCAATCCCGTTGACATTTCTACCCCAGATCAATTCCTAGAGCTTTCTTTCCATCGGTCGTGCTTAGTGTTTCTGATATCCAGACTGCAGTTGAATCTCATTTTCCAACGTCTTAAAGGATCAGAATCTTTCAAAGTTTGGCATTATCAAACTGCAAGCCGGGGGATCGGATATCCTGGCCACATGTCTACAGGCAACATCTCTGCTTTAATCCACACTGAGGTAAACAAATCATAAATTTGTCATTCTTCTCGAGTGCACGTAGTGATTGAAACTGAGTATTTCAACGCTTCAACAAGTGTGAGCTCAGAAATCGGTTTTATTTGGAACTGTATGGGAACGGGTTGCAGAGCGAGAGATGGGGGGGGGGGGGGGTAAAAAACCGAGGAGCAGGAGATTGAAGAGGTGAACGGTGGGTTGATTTGCGCGGTTGCAATGTCTGAAGTACGTTAAAATATTGGAGGTTTCTTCGAGGGTTCCAAATTCATTCCCGCTGCTAGACATGACTATTTGTTTTGCGTGAGTTTCTGTTGATGAGAATGGATATGCGATAACAAGGAGAGCTCGGCTAGGAGAAGGGGAGAGGGGGGAGAAAGGGGGTCTGTTGCAACGGTATATCACCACTCTTTTATCAATATCAAGAACGCTGGCAATTTGTGCAACTTTGCGTCTTTACTGTATCGCTATTGAAGCTGGTCAAATGATTTCCGTTCTTGCAAACGATAAAGCCCAAGACCAACGTAAATGGTATACCACACAGCGCAATTTGGGAGGAGGTTGAGAACTTGGTCTGTCCTTTACAGCCGGGGACCCAATCAGCAAAACTGCTTTCTTGAAAGAAGAGGATAAATTGTAAATGTCGCGTTCTAAGAGAAGCAGCTAGAAGAACCGAGACACGCTTATCGAGCCTGCCAGAAGATGAAATCTTCCAACTATGTTACCAGGGATACGGAAACGGTCTGTAGGCTGACCCTTTCTTGAAGTAGAAGAGCATCTTGTACATCACCATTCAACCGCGGATTACACATGATCTGGAAATCCAAATCCAAGTTTGCCGACTAGGGTGAAAGCAGCAGGAAGCTTACCTTCCACCTTTTCCTGCATTAAACCCTTACAACAGAAAGCATCAAGATATCAATATCTAGCTTGATAAAGTGACATTTTTAGACTCACGAACTTGGAAATATGCAGAGGTCCCCCCCTCATTCGATTCAGATGATGTGATTACACGATCATCTACACAGGGCAATGAAATCATATTGTATCTCAGCAAACAATTCCCCAGGGCTACCTTTGCACGATGGTTGTCTCCTAGTACTGTCAAAAGGTTGAATTTGTATGAAGAGGCAAAAAACTTGATTTCCTGAAATGATATATCCACAGAAGATGCAGAAAACGATTTTCTCGCTAGTTATGAAGTACACTCCCTCAACCGCCAACAGTTTATCTAAGGCATCTCTCCCACTGCAGAATATTCCTCTCTCAATCATGTGCTCTTCTCGCCTATCTCTATTTCTTTCCCTTCTTTTGACCACTTTCCTCTTATCTTTGACCGTTTCATCCCCAGCATAAGCCATTCTTCCCTTGCTTACCTCCCGTGCACCGAGCACTCTTCTGTCATTGTTAACTATCCTCCTTCAAGTTCGAGCATTAATCTCAAGCCATAGTGATTTATCAATTATCAAATTATTACTACGGCAATGTACATAGCAGGACCCCTAATTGGCGAAGCGATAGTCAAGCGAGAGGGGGGAGGAAGACCGGGAAACATGTATCAGATTGTAGACCCATTTGCAGTTGCTATAGTGATCGATCGTAGGAACTTTATCACCCTTTCAATTTCAGAAACTTCCCGTTTTTGGGTATTAAATCTTGATTGCACGTTTTTAGATCTCATGGTTCCGTTGATCTGAAAGGAATGAGGAAGCGAGGTGGACACACGGTTTGCTTCGGTCGATCGAGATATTATGTTACCCTCATGAATTGTGCAATCGATACTCACCGGAGCTGCCTGTCAATGATTAGAAGTCTTCTTTATTGCATTTCCACAGATTCGTAATATCAAGGTCTTGTAAAATTCGATGAATTTCATACTATATAAACGTCTAATTATAGCTACTAATCTAAATGAACTTACAAATGCAGATTGCTATCTTCTCAGGCTGCAGGTTCATATACATGGTTCCAAAACCCTAGCCCTAAAGTATTACTAGGGGGGCGAAATGATTATAGAGATCATCCAAGGAGATGTTTCTCGTTTGAATGCCAAAGAAAAGCCACTCAAATACGAAAACGATATGTAAGATGTTCAAGCAATCAGATGTTATATACCACTTAGTATCTACCTGCGATTGTTTGCAAGATTCTTCTCTTTGCTCCTCCGTTATCACCCCGCTATCGCTATCGGCAAAGAGTGAATTTTTATAGGCAGGTCAACCATGGGATTGATGGTTCCACATTGTACAAGTGAACGACACGCATTGGACACGGTAAATATGATAATGGAGTCAAGGGACCTGAGTGATTCCTATAATAGCTTAGTAAAAAGTAAATGCCTAGGTAATAATGAAGAGCTAGCAATTTTTTGCTTGTCGTGAAAATTTCTATTGAGAAAATCACGTGTAGAGTGGGAGCGAGGCGAAAGGGCACGGACGAAGAAATTAGCTCAATGAAAAATCCCACTGGATTTTGGTAAATTTATCTTCTCCCTCCCCGCGATCAAATTTCAATCTTCTTCTTTTTTTCCCTCCTTCCATACCGTCTTCTTTGAAGTTTTTTATTACCATAAATTCTTCTTCTACCCCAATACATTCTTCAAGATGGCCGACGAAGTTTACGAGGGTGCCATTGGTATCGATCTTGGTAAGATAAGATTTTTTCCGAATTTTGAAGATTGTGGATGAGGGGCATAATTTTCTTTGTCAAAATCTTCAAAAATCTCGCAATTATTCTTCAATATCAATAACGAATACTGATCATCTACGACGCGCAGGAACCACATACTCTTGTGTTGCCGTTTACGAGGGAACCAATGTTGAGATCAGTACGTATTCCTCATTTCCCAGAAAATCGATTTCGCAAATCGGGCTTCGACAACCGAGATTTTATACTGATCGATATCACCAGTTGCCAACGAGCAAGGTAGCTTTACCACCCCATCTTTCGTTTCCTTCACCGACAAGGAGCGTTTGATCGGTGAGTCTGCTAAGAACAATGCCGCCATGAACCCAAAGAACACCATCTTTGATATCAAGTCAGTATCTCGACTTTCGCGACGACAACAAGGTATTAATGGATATACAGGCGTTTGATCGGAAGAAGATTCGATGACCCCCACACCACAAAGGTATTTACTCGATTTTATTTCATCAAGATTCTCAAAACTCGCCATATGTTGGATTTTAGAACAAAAATTCTTTATTTCTCCCGGATGTCTTGTATCAGAAAGCAGTCACTAACACATCTTCTAGGATATTCAATCATGGCCTTTCACCGTTGTTGACAAGGATGGATCCCCATTCGTCCAAGTTGAGTATCTCGGAGAGGAGAAGACCTTCTCCCCACAAGAGATTTCATCTATGGTTTTGACCAAGGCAAGTTTTGCACACCCCACTCCTCGGTAGCGAGTTTGCTAACAATACTTGATTTACAGATGAAGGAAATCGCCGAAGTTAAGTTGGGCAAGAAGGTCGAGAAGGCCGTCATCACTGTTCCAGCTTACTTCAACGACAACCAACGTCAAGCTACCAAGGATGCTGGTGCCATCGCTGGTCTCAACGTTCTCCGTATCATCAACGAGCCTACCGCTGCTGCCATCGCTTACGGTCTCGGTGCTGGAAAGTCCAACAAGGAGCGTAACGTTCTCATCTACGATCTCGGTGGTGGAACTTTCGATGTTTCCCTCCTTAACATCCAAGGTGGTGTCTTCACTGTCAAGGCTACTGCAGGTGACACCCATTTGGGAGGTCAAGATTTCGATACCAACCTCCTTGATCACTTCAAGAAGGAGTTCACCAGAAAGACCAAGAAGGACTTGTCCAACGACCCCCGTGCTCTCCGTCGTCTCAGAACTGCTTGCGAACGTGCTAAGAGAACCCTCTCCAACGGTGCCTCCACCAACGTTGAGATCGACTCCTTGTTCGATGGTGAGGACTTCAATGCTCAAATCACCCGTGCTAGATTCGAGGACCTTAACGCCAAGGCTTTCTCCGGTACTTTGGACCCTGTTGCACAAGTTCTTAAGGATGCCAACATTGATAAGAGCAAGGTTGACGAGATCGTTCTTGTCGGTGGTTCTACCCGTATCCCAAAGATCCAAAAGCTCTTGAGTGAGTTCTTTGACAACAAGAAGTTGGAGAAGAGCATCAACCCTGATGAGGCTGTTGCTTACGGTGCTGCTGTCCAAGCTGGTATCCTTTCCGGAAAGGCTACCTCAGCTGAGACTGCTGACCTCCTCCTTTTGGATGTCGTCCCACTTTCCCTCGGTGTTGCCATGGAGGGTAACATTTTCGCCCCTGTCGTTACCAGAGGTCAAACTGTCCCAGTATGTAAAGTCTTCACAATTTCATTCAAAAGCATTACTGACTCATTAATTCTAGACTATCAAGAAGAGAACCTTCACCACTGTAAGTTTTACTTTCTCTATGCAATCTTCTGATTCTTCAGCTCCAGTTCAGTATTTAGCCCGGTTTGATTGTTCAACCTTCTCTGATTATCTGAGCTTCTTTCGTTATTTCACCTTGTCTGAATATTCGGATCTATTTGAATATCTGATTTCAGTTGAATGTTCGAGGTTGTTTAAATATCTGATTTGGTTTGAACATTCGAATTGGTTCGAGTATTTGACCTGGGCTGAATATCTGACTCGGTTCGAATGCCCGAGTCCGTGAGAATGTCCCACGTGATTTCAGTATTTCACGTGATACAAATTTCCCACGTGTCTTGGACATTTGACTTCATACATCAACCCCCTTCGTACTTCTTGTATGTTTTAAGACTTATTAGACACTTGCTAACACCCTTACGGGTTGCTGACAATCAGCAAACTGTCCAATTCCCCGTTTTCCAAGGAGAGAGAGTCAACTGCGAAGACAACACCTCCCTCGGAGAATTCACCCTCGCCCCTATCCCACCAATGAAGGCAGGTGACGCAGTTCTCGAAGTTGTCTTCGAAGTTGATGTCAACGGTATCTTGAAGGTCACCGCTACTGAGAAGACTTCCGGACGTAGTGCCAACATCACAATTGCCAACTCCGTTGGTAAGCTTTCATCTTCTGAGATCGAGAAGATGGTTGCAGATGCTGCTGAGTTCAAGAGCAGTGATGATGCTTTCAGCAAGAGATTCGAGTCCAAGCAACAACTCGAGTCATACATTTCAAGAGTTGAGGAGATCATCTCCGACCCAACTATGTCCATCAAGTTCAAGCGTGGTAACAAGGAGAAGATTGAGTCTGCTTTGAGCGATGCTATGGCTCAACTCGAGATTGAGGACTCCACTTCTGATGATTTGAAGAAGAAGGAGCTCGCTTTGAAGAGAGCTGTCACCAAGGCCATGTCCACTCGTTAAAGTGTGATTTGAGTTTTGGGTGGTGGAGAGGAATGTGGAGGAAGTTATTGATGCATATGAGTTCATGACACGGATGCAATGGACTGGACCCTCTGGTCACAGGCTCATATTGGGTTTATAAAAAGTCACTTATCCGTTATTTGCATGGTCGTCTGGCTATTTTACGGTTCTGATATTTCTTTGACGTTTGTCTACAGGCATAAAAAGATTGTCCGTAGACCAAGGGGTGTTAATAAGCAAAAAAATATCAAATTGATCACGTTAAAAACTTTATATATGTTCCAATTATATGCTCTACTGTGTTGATGTTGCTAAAGCAAACCTGGGAAGGGTCATGACGAGGAAAGTGTTCCAAGTCAATATTCGAATGTCTGGCATGAATTGAGACAATGCAAGCGCTTCGAATGTGGTCTTCACTACAGAAAGGTAAAAAGACAAGGTCAAATTTCATGATGATGGTGTAACACCGATTCATATTCGAAAATACTAGAATGCCTGTGTGACATTAATCTTGTGAGAGTTACTAATACCAAGGTATAATCTACAGTACAAGAAATATGAATTCTGAGAATACCGGGTTTGAAACGAATGAGACTGTTTCTACATTCCAAACCTCAAATTCAAAAGAATGGAAAATGCGGCATCAATGTACCATTAATATACCTCTGTAAGTATTTAACAGTATGGTTTTCATTCGTCTCAATGAATCAGGCATCCTCTCACCCGTTTGACTTCCGATCAGGCAACCAGCTCACATCCGTCGCATTATCTCGCCTGTTTCAAAGTAGCATCTGCAAGAAAGTCTTCTAAAGCAGGCCGTGCTTCTAAACCTGGTGCTCCAGGTGAATGATGACTGACTGGGTGGTGGTAACGAAGATCTTCAATACAACAGTTGGAGGCACCTTCTGTTACGTATACCTCGAGGATTCGGAGTTTCCGTTGTGGACACAGTCGGATAGTGTTTGGAATAGAATATCAAGTTTGGACCATTACGATATGGTGATCTTTTATGAGCGAATCAAACATAGGACACGTGAGAAAGATGGAGAGAGAATTCGCAAATGTCCAGGTCGAGATCAAGATCGAGGGTTTGTTTTGAGGTATGCGGGGTGCGTGATGATGGAGAAGGAACTCAAGTCATAGTACAGGCGATGAACTTCAAAGGCAATATATCGATTACTTGATAGGAGAGAAAGTGGAGGTGGTTGGTGGTTGCATTCTGCGTAGTGCAGGTAGTGTGGAGAGAAAGATGGTGGGTTTGAGAAAGTGATCTTCGGGGAGGGGGAAAGGGGCCCAGGGGGTTGGAGGTTGGAGGGCGAATATGCTTATAGTCTTTGTACCAAGACTTTTCATGCAAAGGGCGGAAGTTCAAGGGGGGAAGGATATTGACTAGGATTTCATGAGGGAGGCTGTGGGTGGATGATGGGATGGATGTCATCGTACAAATGCTGCCAATCCCTTTTGGAGATTGGAGATGGGGATTGCTGAGAAAGTTGAAATAGATGTATTCGCCGTGGACATAAGGAAAACGCGTATCTGTGTCCTCAATTACTGATGTATAGAAGACCATGACGTATCAATAATAGTACACCTTGCTGTCGAGCAAATCGGCCCAAACCTCTCACTCTTCAAAAAACTAGACGAAGATAGCTGTAAAACTTGATAGAGTTTTACTATCTTAACATAAATCCGCGTCTTCAACATGCATGCAAGTACATGAAAATCATACAATGAGCTCCTCCCCTTCTAGAGCTTTAGGAGCGGCATTCTGTTCATTAGCCTATGTATAAACGGAACAGAATAATAACACCAAATGGCACCCTCCTACATTTGATGTGGAGGAACACATCAAATCAGACAATTAATACTTCAAAATTGAGAATCAAATAATTGTGTTCATAGAGTTTCCTCTCGTGACCATCTGAAGATCATGTGTACTAGCTACAAATTGTAGTCATTATAAAATGTCGATATGTACCCAGATACATCAAGTGCTTTCAAGATGTATGCCATTCGAGGGCCGTCTCGCTGACAAGTGAAGCTCGCTCAAACGCACGTACCAATCCCCGCAATATGCAGATCCATTAAGGCTGAAATATTATTTTCAAGACAGACGAGGCCTCAATCCCGCCTTGTTTAAAATTCTCACAATCACAATTCAATTCTCGATTGTTCCTCACATTCCTCACGAAAATGCCACCTCGTCTATCTCTCCGTTCTGCTCAGGCACTGAGACGTAACCTTCTAAGTTCCGATTCACAAAATGCATCAATTTTAGAGATACGACCCCTCCAATTGAACATACCCACTCGATATCAAAATACCCCTCACTACCGTTCCCTAAGCAGCAGCTCTTCTCTCCAATTCCAGTCTACCCCAACACTTCTCAAGAAAAAAGACAAGGGCAGTAAAAACTCTTCACCCGAATCAGAAAGTTCCTCCTCCACCTCTTCCTCCGCAGCAGCAGAAGATAATGACCCTTTTGATTTTTCCACACTACAAGCTGGAATTGACAAATCCCTGGAGAAACTCAAGACTGATTTAGGGAAATTGAGAACCGGGGGAAGATTCAATCCAGAGGTACTAGAGGGACTACGAGTTAAGTTAGGGAAAGATGCGAAAGAAAGTTTTCGGTTAGGTGATTTGGCGCAGGTGTTGCCGAAAGGGGGACGAAGCGTCGTTGTGCTTGTAGGAGAGAAGGATGTATGTTGATTATTTCTTCTTTTTGTGTTCTACATACTTTCCCTCTTATACTCTCCATTCACGTCCTATTCTTTCAACAACAGAGACAAACTAACCCTTAAAACAGCACATCAAACCTATCCTCTCCACCATCCAATCCTCCACCCTCTCCCTCCAACCCACACCCGATCCACACAATCCTCTCGCTCTAAACATTCCCATACCACCACCTACCAAAGAATCCCGCGACGCAGCACTACAAGCAGCTTCAAAAGCAGGAGAAATAGCCAGTAATGGAGTACGCAATGCGAGAGGAGCTATGCAGAAAAAGTTAAGAGCGATGGAGGTAAAGAAGACGGTTAGACCTGATGATTCAAAGAAGGCGCATAAGGAGATGGAGAAGGTTGTTGAGAAAGGGAATGGAGAAGTGAAAAAGATCGTTGATGCGGCAAGGAAGGGAATGGAGCAGGCTTAGAGAATTAGGGGGAAGGGTTATTAGACGAAGGGATTGAAGTTTTTAGAAGAGTTAAAATGGTCTCGGAGGAGAGAGATGCATGTTCTAACAGATTTTACAAGCGAGGACTGTGATAATATGGAGATTTAAAAGTTGAATTGTTGTCGGTGTATGTTCTTTTGTACAATACCATTTTTATATTTTTATGAATACACTATATAGGACATAGAATTAACCTATATCGTAGGTCCCTTCGCCTTTTTTATATTGGCTACCTCATCGGCAGGTAACATGCTTTGTAGCTTTTCCGCAAATGACCTCGAGTCATCTTGCAAGAAAGTCTCGTTCTTCCTCGAGAGCCTTTCAATTTCGCCAAAAATGTTTTTCTTAACATCTCCTGGTTTTGGGTACACACCTGCAACCATTTCCTTCAAAATTGCCTCTTTCTCTTCCTCCTTCAATCCCTCGACCTTATAATCTTTATGAACCTTCCACCTAACCTCATTTCTCCATGCCTCCTCCCCATCCCTCCATTTCTCTAATGTCTCCTTCTCCTCTTTGCTCTCAAATACCGTACCCATACCCCTTTCCAAATTCGCCAAATGTCTTTCCGGCGGCGTCGGTACATCCTTTTGTGCCAATGTTCCGCTAACAACTTGCATCTTATAAATTATCGATTCCTTCAATCCGTTTGTACTCGAACTTGTCGCAATTGCCGGGCCCCAACTCTCCAAATCAGACATTGAGGTGACTGGATTATAAAAGACGAACTCTCCTCCCTCTTGGCTATCCAGATACTGTTGTTCTTCAACTGTATATGGAGGATCATATTCATCTAATTCCACATCTGCCGGTTTAGGTCCTGCACGGAGACGAGGTTTTCCTCCGCGTCCTCCACGGCCCCCTCGCCCTCCTCGTGTAGAAGCTCCTCCTGCACCACCGGGTCCGCTTCTCACACCTCCTCTTCCAGCTCCGGCTCCAAGTCTTCCAGTGCCAGCTCCTCCAGAAAGCGCACCCCCTCGTCCGCGATAATTGGGACTATGACGGGCACCAGGTGCTCGAACTCGCGGACCACTATCATCGATACGACGGGAAATAGTAAAAGTTTGGCCAGGAGGAGGACGTGCTGCTAGTGAGCGAGCATCAATTCCACGGGAGGGTTGTGATGCGAGTGAGGAAATATCGGCTGTGGCAATGGAGCTGCGTTCTGCGCGAGTAGAACGTGGTTGACCTGGCTATTGTTAATTATTATGATTCTCATCTATAAGCCAGGGTTCCAGTTTCACTGCTTCCTGGTCATGCTGAGCACTGAGTGAAGCTTCAAAGCCTCTGAAGAAAGTTAGAAACTTACTATTATCATTACCCTTCCCCTCCTCACTCCTCCTAACAGAACTACTAAAAGCCCTCAAACTCGCCTTGATACCCTCTGACACCCTGGTCAAATCATGTCCCAAAGGTCTGGCACCTCCAATCGCTGATTGCACATGCCGTGTAAACATGATGTGTAGCGCTTCTTGTCACTTATCAAATCGTCCACTCTCTCCCCTCTATCAATCTGGAGATTCTAAGAAAATATTATATTTGCCTGAGGTATTAATGCATGTCAATCTGTGAGTGTAAACGCTAAAAGCATGAGGCTATCTGCACGGTTGTTCAATGTAAACAAGGCAAAATAGTAGCCTCTCACAAATCCTTTGATACGCCCCGATCGATTGTTCAACAAGATTCCTATCAAAATCCCCGGGACAATTTTTTTTTCTCGAAATCATGCAGTTCTGACGTTTTTGGAATCGCGAAGAAAATTATATTTCCTGCAAATGCCCCATATTTGCTAGCGCAGACAGACGTACAACAAAACTTTTGGAAAGACAGAACCCCCCACGTTTTCTCAGCCTTGGATTGTTTAGGATATCAACAACATACTACCACATCGGTATCGAATTTGAGAATATTGTTTTCGCATACGGCCCGCGACTTGCTACGAGTATAACGAAACTAGAAAGTTCTTTTTGGCAGAGAAGTAGACGAGGAACTATATATTTGCTATCGAACACCGACCACACTCAATATCAACAATACAAAGCACGAATTCATCTTATTATCTTCTCCAAGCATCTCACCCTTACAATGCTCCGCCGCGCCCCAACAACCATTACTCTCACCACGGAAGATATAGCTATCTACGAAGACTCCCGGCAAGCGGAACGTGATGAACAAGCAGAGAGAGAAGCCATGGCAGCGGCAGCACGCCACAGAAAAGCAAGACAAAGACAAGATTTTGGAGCTGTTAAGGGGGACAAATACAGGGAGTTGCAGGCGATAGCTGCGCAGAGGAGAGTCGATGCTGCGAGGGAAAGAGCTGCAGGGAGGGGACTGGATATGGAAGGGGATGGGAATGCGGAAAATGAGAATGAAATAAGTGAGGATGAGGGTAGACAGATTTTGAGGGAGAGAGAGGAGAGTGCGATAAGGGAGAGGCTTAGGGAGAGGGAGGGACAGAGACCTACTAGGGTTTTACAGAGAGCAAGGGAGGAGAGGGAGCAGAGGAGTAGAGAGGAGAGGTTGGGATTAGGCGGTGGGAACGGTAGTGCGTCGGGAAGATGATCTGTGGTCATTAAATATGGCGGCTTCTTGTTAAATAATTTCATGGATACTTCTAGTCTGGGAAAAAGTATAGGTTGTGGATATATTTGAGTCTATGGATACTGGAGTTT